ACGGACGCTGTGTCATCTGGTGGCCCATAGTCCCTGTGACCCAGAAAGGGTCTTTAGTCTTCCTACCAGTGTTCTAATAGTCTGAGCCAGAAAAGGAGACACAAGATGGGGATCTGGACTCATATGAGGAAGATTAAATGGGAGAACCTCTGGTTGGGTTAATATTTCATAAAGTGTGGCTCACAAAAGCTGGTGTCATTCTCGCTGGGCAGAGGACTCAGAAGTGCTGGCTCATCTTCCACCTGCCCTAATTACGGATGCCACAGAGCCCAAGACCAGCGTTAGCCGGTGTGTCCCGGTTACTGACTCAGAAAACCCACGATCTGGAACCTGCGGGCTTTTCCCCACAAACACTTTATCTGGGGATTATCTTTTCTGCAAGCCCATTAAGTCTAGTCCCAGGAAACCTATCAGAATTCAAGAAGATTTAGACAGCTCCCCGCTCAGCACTCATACAAAACCTCTGTCACCCCCAAGTATTAAGGGCACAGTGAGCCCCTCTCAAAGCTCGGGGTCCTGCTTCCCAACACTCTTTAAGGACCAGCAGTAGCTTTCAAGATTGACTTGCCAACGCCCTTCAGATAGAACCAACTACTGCTAAGCCCCGACTCCTCACTTCTTTTACATTTCCAGAGTGCACGTCACAGTGGGGTCCCACCAGCTCAGGCTGCTTTCCTTCTAGTACTATTAACTAGTACTTTATGTACCCCAGGGCCTGTCTCTTGAAGTTTCAATTCAGAGGTACTCAAGAGCCCGTAACAGGGACTGTGTAAAGTGATGTGGCTGAGGCGGGTACCTAACCAGCAGATGCTCACAGCTCTGGGGATGACAGGTTCTAGAAACATCCCTCATGGCATCCATGGCAGCACGTATCACGTCCTGAATGGGAGGCACTGGCCAAGGGCATGGATTCACACAATGACAGAGAACTGGGGGAGACAACAGCTGGACTCAGAGGGCCAAGGAGGAGGGTTGGGGAAAGAGCTCTCTGAACTGCTGTGGTGCCTCCAAGTTCCTAGGGCTGCCATTACGTCCGGGTGGCCACGGGACCATTAGGAACTGTCAGCACCCGTTGGCGTGGATGTTGGAGGGGCTGCATAACCCGCAAAGGAGGAAGGAGGTGAGGAAATAGATAATGAAACATTCCAAAGTCCGTGCGTTACTTGTCAGGGCATTTCTTCCAACTTCAGAAGATCCTAAGGCAGTTTTTTTGGATTCCATCGTTGACATAAACGTTTATCTGTAGTACAAATTACTTCTAGAAACTTCCAGGTTGTGAGCAGTCATCCAACAAATATTGACCGTGTGCCCAAAGCATGTGCCAAGTGAATGAGACATTGGCCCCATTCTCAGCAATCTTGATCTCATGAGGGCCAGAATGTCCTGACGCCCCCAAGCCAGAGCACAACACAGAATGTGGTGATTGTCACAAAGACGTAGCTTTTAAAATAGTAAGTGTCCGACAAAGAGTGTGGGTTTGTAGGAAATGAGAACCAGACAGGCTAGCTGGAGCACACCCCAGACTCACAAAGGACATGATAGTGTTTGCACCAACCTCAAAGTCGGGATAGATCCGTTACAGAAGAATCGCACGAACAAAGTATAAAGAATGATGGTGCTGTGGGGTGGGGGTGGTCAAAACACGGGGAAGTAGTCTTGGTGAGACAGAAAGGAGCAGACTGGTCAAATGAAGTTTGCACAAAGGCTAGTGCTGGCCTAGGCTGCGTTGGTGGTTTTTGAAACGGGTGGTATCTGGGACCAGGAGTGGCGATCCTGTCGCTCTGTGAGTGGACTAGGAAGTGGGTGTGAAGGGAGGGGTGTGGGGAGGAGGTTGCAGGAGGGAGCCAAGACAGAACAGCCGTGTCCCAGGTGGCAGCTGGTGGCTGCCAGGGGCTTTGGGGTAAGGGTTTAAGGAGTCTAGGCCTTGGCTTCTCCGAAAATAAGATGAACGTTTCATCTCAGCTTCTTTCCACCTTGGACAAGAAAGTCCTGTAACGTGGATGTTGTCCAAAGCGGAAGCAGTGAGCGGCACTGAAGAAGGGAGAGAAAGGCAGCCGTGCGCGTGCTAGGGAGAGCTTACGGTCAGCTCCGCGTGACGGAGTCATGAGTGGCTTTTGCTTTCGTTCCACTTGCCTTCATTGTTCGTTCTTTTCTATGCACGCTACTGCGTCATAAACGTGTGCGGTTTAAAACCTGCACCTCCCGCCATTGCCACCACACCCGCTGTCACACTCACGGCCGCACGCGCGCACAACAGAAGTATCGGGATGTCAGTTTTGGGCCCGCAGCTCTGTGCTCACTCCGGGGGAAGAGCCCGAGCGGAGCTTCTCCACGTGCTGACCTGCCCCGTTGTTCCGGAGGACACTGCGTCTCAGGAGGGGACTGTACCTGTTCTGATCCGCACATCTCACACCCTTGAGAGACAGGACCTCCCAGAATTAAGTTATTCGGCCAGTTTGGTTTGGGTTTTGTTTAAAACACATTATTTTATGACGAAGGCCTCGCCTCCCCACAAACAACATGAAAATATACTCTCGTGTCACAGATGAAAAGCAAGAATCTTGGGACACCTGGCTCGGTGGGTTAAGCCTCTGCCTTCGGCTCGGGTCATGATCTCAGGGTCCTGGGATCGAGCCCTGCATGAGGCTCTCTGCTCAGCGGGGAGCCTGCTTCCCCCTCTCTGCCTGCCTCTCCCCTGCTCACGTTCTCTCTCTCTCCCCATCTCTCTGACAAATAAATAAAATCTTCAAAAAAGAAAGAAAAGCAAGAATCTTATCTACAAACATGAAAGAGGAAATTCTCCAAAACCGTGAATGGGGAAATTACATCAGTTTTGTGTCATAAATGATGTCCCATGAAAGCATTAGCAGAACAGATCAATGGAGACCAGAGCATGACAGACGCAGGCTACCGGAGCCGCACACGCCAGGAGAATGAAAAAGTTCCCTCAGTTTGATCTAATCAAGTGTCTCTTCCCGCAATTTGTTCTCAGTGAGGAAAAACAGCCGCATCTGCTCTTTCCTGCCCCTCCCTCCTCCCTCCAGCCGTGCTTCCTACAGTCCCGGTTGGTGTTTCTTGCTGTAAATTGAGAAATCCCAGCGAGCTCATGGCATGGTTTCGCTTCGTCGAGGTGAACCTGCGCACACCCGTTTGCAGGAATCCAGGGGGCGTCCAACGCCCCTTTCGCAGACGGCATCTTGAGGGCAGTGACCCCAGTCCCACTTCAGCCGGAACTGTCCCTCCCCCAGCTCCCTCACACCATTATTGTAGCTGGTAAACGTTTCACAGGATTTAAATGTGGTTGAGCAGCTGCCTTCGGCTCGGGTCATGATCCCGGCGTCCTGGGATCGAGTCCCACATCGGGCTCCTTGCTCATCAGGGAGCCTGCTTCTCCCTCTGCCTCTGCCTGCCATTCTATCTGCCTGTGCTTGCTCTCTCTCCCTCTCTCTCTGACAAATAAATAAATAAAATCTTTAAATGTCATCTCATGCAAAACTGTCCTTATCAGGGTCACTCCGTCTTGGTATTCCAGGAGGATGGCTCAAAAGGAAAGAGCCAGGCAGTTTGCAGTTGATGTCTTCCAGACTGGGCCACACGACTGCACTTAAATCCTCCTCCTGCCCTTGCCAAGAACCCAGAGGGGCTGTCCGGGCGGAGGTCACGGTGCAGGGCCCTGGCGGGGAGGGGTGGGCAGGCGCAGCACCCTCGGCTCCGGTCCTGGGGAGGCCGCGCCTCGGAGGGCCGTGGGGATGTCACCACGTGGCTCATGTGGTCCGGTGTCACCTGCACGAGAGGCCGCCTGTCCGTTCCCCGAGTGACGGTGACAACCCAGATGCCGGTCACAGCCATCGCTGGCCCCCCGCTGGGCCAGACAGCCCTGAGGGCAGTGCCTTCTCTCCTACGGCGCTTTCCGTGGTTTGTGGACCGACGTGGATAAGCTGCTGTTTGTTGAGTGAATAACACAAACCAATCCGAGTCAGCTCTAGTCCAACAGGTAGTGCCCCTGAGCCCAGTCAGCCGGGGGGAGGCACGGGCAATCCTGTCCTGGCCTGCATGGGGCCGGACATGCGTGCTTCCCCACAGTGAGAGGACGCAGGGGCTGGCAGGGGGTCGGGGCCAACCCTCACGGGTGTGGGGGTGCCTAACCACCAGGGACCCAGACTCATGTGCGTGTGTCGCATTTTGTGTGTGGACATAGCTGAACACCTGTGTCCACACGTGACACCAGAGACCCACAAACACGGCGTCCCAGAGTGGGACCAGTATTTCTGTTGGGCACAATAAAACCGCTGGGGTTTGGTCCTTTGCAATGCTTTTCCTTAAAGCCACGGTGGTTTCTCAGCTACACAAATTGGTGAGAATGCACAGACAGGGCTGTCTTTGTGGGAGGGAATGTTCTGGAAGCATTTCCTCATCCACTTCCGGCCATCGCCGCTGACAGACAAGTGCCCGGAAAGATTAAGATCTGAGCAGCCGAGGGTCAGGACGTCGGTTCCGTTGTTCTGGGTTTCGGTTTTGTTCTGTCTTCTGTGGCCACCCCACGCTGGTTAACGCCGGCACACGTCAGAGCAGCCCGTATCTTCAGTGCCTCACACCCACTTGATTCAGAAAAGTAGGTCAGTTACAAGGAAAATGGCGTCTGTGTGGACACATTGTCCACACTGGCTTCGGGTCGGCTGATCAGATCTGGTCTGTGGCGCGTCCTTCACTTTGCCCGTCGGTTGGTAATAGCCAACAGGGCCACGCCATGCCCGGGTGTTCCTGACGCCGGGCTCTGCCCCTGGAACACACACGCCGCGAACACCCGGGAACCAACCAGCGAAACAGGTAAATAGCCCGCCCTGCCCTGTGCGTCCCGCGGGCCTGTGCGTTTCCCGGGTCCGCGGGGAACCGCTTCCTCACACGTGCGCACAGGGAGGCGTGGGCTGCGCCCTGTGGCCCGGGTCACACCAAGGACCCACCGTCCGCGGCCATCGCTGAGTCTCTGTTTTCCATTCCAGGCCTACATGGAGGACCACCTGAAGAACAAGAACCGGCTGGAGAAGGAGTGGGAGGCGCTCTGTGTCTACCAGGCCGAGCCCAACAGCTCGCTCGTGGCCCAGAGGGAGGAGAACGTGCCCAAGAACCGCTCTCCGGCGGTGCTGACCTGTACGTACCGGGCCCTGCTCCGGGCCGGGGGAGGGGAACTCGGGCCAAGCGGGCCCGCTGCGCCGTCCCCTGCTTGCTTGGGTTTCTGGGGGCTCTCGTGGCTGGGGAGCCGTCCCCAGCCGGGAGACGGAGTCGGTGGATTCCGCTGTGGTCCAGGGGCACAGCCCTGGTTTGAGGGCGTGTGGGCCCCAGTGAACACTTGCCGTCTGTGCTGCTGCTGTGCGGTTTGAGACTCGTTTCTTAGCCTCGTGGAGCCTCCCCTTCGTCTGACTGCGATCCTCCCGTCGTCCTGGGAAGCTCTGAGCCCTGAGGACAGTCAGCGCTGTGGGCCCGGGGTGGGGGAGGGTCCGCAGATGCCCGCCAGCCTCCCGCGTGCCGAGACCGCGTCACGGAGAGCCCGACTCTGCACAGACCAGCACCAGGAAGCAGACACAGAGACCAGCGCTTTAATCAACTCGCATCCAGTAGGAGACGGTCTTAGATTACGTGTTGTATGTGGTGTGACTCGGACAGACGGACAGGCCCACGCAGAGGCCAGAAACAGACCGGCCTGGCCTGCCCCTGCCTGGCCGCCAGGATCCTTTCTCAGCCACGCGGCTAAGAAACGCAGCAAGCTCCCGTGTTCCAGCAGGTCTCAGGCCAGGCTCGAGCCTGACGAAGGTAGGACCCCTGCGGAGAGGACAGGCGTGCGAGGTGCGCTTGGGACCCAAGTGGCTGCCAGAAACAGACGCTCTCGGAAGGCCGCCCGCGTGCGCGGCCGACGTGTGCGCGAGTGACCCAGTCCCCGTCCCAGGAACTGCAGGCGGAGCCGTCGGGCACACTTCAAACGTAGGAAAATGTTCTTGGTCAGCTGACGTTTTGGAGGACACAGCGAAGCCACACTCTGCGTCCCACCCGCTGTGTCCCAGCGCCCCGGAAGCCAGCACTGCCGCCTGCACGGTGCCCCCCGACACGCTCCCGATGGTCCCCCCTCACCTGACCTGGCACCGGCCGAGGGACGTGTGCTGATGGTAAACGGCAGCAGCCCCACCGGGCTCACAGGTCAGGGTGTTCAAGGCTGACCCCTTGCACTGCCTTCGACACTGACCTGGGCACCACAGACCCTTGACATCTGAAGGCCCTTCCGGGGGTGATTTTTTCTAACAGTTCCCTGGAGGCTCAGACCAGGCCCTCCGTTTCCATGAGGTCTGAGGGGTTTTCCGTGATGGGCTTTAAAAAGAGGAGGTTTTACAGACACCTGGGAGGCTCGGCCAAGGAAGCATCTGCCTTCGGCTCAGGTCAAGATCTCAGGGTCCTGGGATCGAGCCCCACATCGGGCTCCCTGCTCAGCGGGAAGCCTGCTTCCTCCTCTCTCTCCCTCTGCCCCTCCTCACCTCTTGCTCTCTCTCTCAAATAAATAAATAAAATCTTTTAAAAAAGTTTTTTAAAGCAACATAAAAATAGGAGCTTCTATATTTAGAAGGTAAGTAACAAAGAACCCACAACCGACTAACGTATTTATTAGGTGCCTACTGTGTGCAGGGGCCGCTGACAGGCTGGGAGGTGTGAGGCTCTAGCTAGGCTGCTAGGCTCAAAGAGGGCCTGGCCAGGTATGGGGGGAGGCTGCCACCTGAGCCTCGGGCGCACAGCAGTTGGGGCACAGGGACACCCAGCAGGCTTACCCAGAACATCCCCCAGGTTTGCTCGCTTACTTGGACTACTGGGTCCCGAACAGTAAATACTGAAACTCAAAGCCTCTTCTTCCTCCAGCACCCCTCCCACAGTGGAAACCCAGACCACGGCAGCAGCCCATGGGGCCCCTGTGCCCCCAGGACCTTAGTGATGGTGGAGTGTCCTGTCCCAAGGCCGTGGGAGCCCTGACACCTGCCCTTTGACAGGAGCCTCTTGCTTCTTCCCGTGGCGCTGGGGAGACAGGGCCGGTGCGGTGGAGCCCGACTGGGCTCCTCGCTGTCCCGGGTCCTGAAGGCGCAGCTGTGCCGGTCTGGGAAGTCCGGGCAGGGACCGCCCTGTCTGCATGCCTCTGACCGTCTCCGCTCATCGGGCGGTCCTCCTGTCGGATCTCAGCCTGCACCCCTTCCTGAGCAGGGCGGGGGTGGGGACGTGGACCGTCTTGGTCTTGCCAGACTGTACCAGAGATCATTGCCTTCTCTTTCGGAAACCCTGCTTCCTTGGCCGGACGCGCACACTCCCCATGGCATAGAATCGGCCCTCACGCCTCCGGCCTCTGCCGGCCGGTGCAGGGCCCATGGGCAGGGGCTGGGGCCGTCAGCGCAGAACCCACCCCTCCCGGCACCCACACGGTCGGAGGGAGCCAGAGCCGGCTTTCCCAGCACCCACTTCTTGTGCCGTGACCCGCCCTGTCCCTTCCCCCGAGCTCCCTGGTTGCTGGGTCTGATGGATTCTTGGATACCCCGGGCAGGACCCCCGCAGTCGGGGCCTCCTGTCCTCCTGCCTCCGCACCTGTCCACGCAAGGAAGCCCTTCAGCGGTTCCTCCACCCAGGCGGCCGGAGCGACGGCCTGACTTCCACAGCACGGGCCGGCCGGCGTCCGCAGACTCCAACAGCTGGATCCGTGGCTCCCCGGAGCCCGGACACAGCCCACACAGCCCCCGAGCCTTCCACCTGCCTTCGCGTCCTTCTGCGTCCGGGCCCATCTGAGGCCTGTGCCTCCCGGAGCTGAGGAAAACACCCCGGCAGACATTCCCAGCCACGCCAGGGAGACGCCGTCCCGGGCAGCCGTACAGCGTGGGGCAGAGGCCCATTTCGGGGTTCTGGATTTTGTTTCGAAGGGAAGCCCGGTAGAGGCAAACACGGTGTTTCAGGAAACAAGGCCGTGTCCTGAGGGGACCGAGGAGTACTGTCCTTGACCCCCCGTGCCTCCAGGACCTGGGCAGTCAGGTCAGGAGCTGCAGTGACCGTCGGCTCAACTTAACCACTCGCAGCTCGGATTTCATATTCCCTTTCCTCCTTTGCTCTGAGCCAGGCCGCAGGCTCGTGGGGCTGCGTGGGGCCCAGCTGCCTCTGCTCCCTGCGCTCCCCGCCGCTGCTGCCTCTGCTCCCTGCGCTCCCCGCCGCTGCTGTGAACAGACTGACCTCGGGGGTGTGAGGTCTGGGGCCTCGACACTGCCTGCCAGCAGCCCCGGCCGCGCCCTCTCCAGACAGGCCCCGGCTCCCTCACCCAGACTGGGGCTGTGCCTCCTGCCCGACCCGTCCACAGCCACCTTGCCATACACACTCCACGAGCCGTGAGGCCGGCTCGTCTCCTCTGTCGCCCGGATGTCCCTGCCCATCCCCGCCCGTCCCCCCTCCCCCCGCCCTGTCCCTGCCCGTCCACACCCGTCCTCACCGAGGTGCCGCTGAGACACTTTGCTCTCAGCTCCATCCGCGGGTCCTTGCTCACCGCCAACAAGAGCTCAATTTCTGGTTCCACACGCCCCCTTCCCTGTCAGCTTTCTGCCGTTTGCACGTTGGACAGACGTGATTTACGTGTCTCCATCTATAACAACACATCCGACGAGGTCCATACGGGCTCTGCCTTACCCAGGCCCCCCACGCGGACACAGGTCTGGGCCGGGACATTCGGTGGCCCACGGAGAGCAAGGGCTTCACGTCCAGCCTTGCTGGGCCGTCCCGGGGACATCAAGATGCTCACCCAGTACTTGTGTGTAGACACGGGGTAGAAGCCGCAGACGTGAGCCCCGGGAGGCTCCGGTTCTCTGTCCCCCATTGTCTGTAGAAGAGCCAGAGGTTAAGAAGGGGAAGCAAGTGGCCCGAGGCTGCCAGCAGCGAGACCCGACCTGGAGGGATTCCCATGCAGGCCAGCCCAGGAGCCCTGGCAAAGAAACGTCACCGGCCATACGTCTTTCCTCCACGTGTTTTATTGTGGAAGCTTTAAAACCGTCAAGTAGAAGTGACCACGGGGCGGCGGTCTGCAAACCCACCACCCAGCTGCTGGCCAGTCTTGTGCCCATTTTCCTCGACGTGTTCGTGCTTTACCCATTTTTTGGCTGAACTCTTTCAAAGTGAGCTTTCGGCATCGTGACATCCACGTAAATACTTCAGCCTGTGCCTCCTAAAAATAAGGATGTTCCGTTCTCCTACGTTCCCACAACCCTGTCGCTACAGCTAGAAGCTGAGCCTCTCATTCTGGCCCATCGCCAGCACCTCGGGCACCTGTGGACGGCGGTGCGCGACCACGACATAGGCAGGTGGAGCTTCCCCCTGTGGGTCTTGTGAAAACAGCCCCTTTTGTTTTCTGACGTGACTCGTCCCTGATGAAGCCGCTCTCCCACCGATCACATTCCCATTCCGGCGTCGTCAACGGCCCGGCTGGGAGTCTGACCGTCCCGACGGGTCCGCCAGGAGCTCGCCTGCTGCCCCCCCCCCCGCCCCCGCCCAGTGCCAGCCCCATCCCGTTCTGGTCTCAAAGCCGAGGCCCGGGGCCCAGGGGCACCGTGGGCCTGAGAGCGGCCGTGCCAGTCCCCACATCTCCAGTGGCCGCCGTGAACGTGAGCTGCGAGCGTGCTTCTGTGGCCTCCCCGGAAGACTCGTGAACGCCTGAGCTCGATCACCGGACTGGCAGTGAGCAGTGTCCGCCGACCATCCCTCAACCCCCTGTCTCTGCCCTTCCGGGTTTGGAAAGAGATGGTCCAGGCAGAGCCGTAATCGAATACATTTTCTCCAAATCGCCTGTTAACATGGCTTCCTCTGCACCACACAGAGGCTTCGTACCTGGTGAGATCTTTAGGTCTAAATGAACGCAGCCAAAAAGGTGGTCAGTCATCATCCTCTGTGTTTTCCACCATCAACCCACGGAGGGCGTCAGCCTTCTGGCACTTCTCCTGTGAGGTCTATGCCCTTGCTTGACTCTTTCCTTGGATGGACGACCGCACGTGGCCTTCGAAATCCCACACGTCCTGCTGCTCTGGACATCTGTCCCTTCGTTACCCCGATATTTGCAGCCGTGCCCTCGGAGCCCCGACGCCGAGCGATCCCGTCTC